CGATGCGGAATGCAGAACGCGAAGTCTGCGCCTACTCCACTGCCTGCGGGTTACTACCCCAAGCCAAATGATGGCACGGCAGATCCCACTCTTCGTTCCAGGTTCCAGACCGTCATCGGGTCCTTGCTGTATATCATGCTCAGTACTCGACCTGACATTGCCTTTGCCGTGACCAAACTATCACAGTTTGCTGTGAATCCTTTGCAAGAGCACCTGAACAAAGCGCTGTATATCTGTCGCTACCTCATTGGAACCAGGTCTTATGCTCTAGTTTACAAAGGTGCTTCTAGAATCGGCATAAGTGCATGTACAGACTCGGATTGGGGCTCAGACCCATCCAGTCAGCGGTCTCAGACAGGATACTTCCTGAAGCTGGCCGGCGGGACGTTCAGTTGGCAGTCTCGTGCACAGAAAACTGTTGCACATTCTTCCACTGAAGCTGAGTGCATGGCCATGAGCGATTGCTCTCGCCAAGTAGTCTGGATCCACAACCTTATGGGCGAGATCGGCTACAAACTCGGCCCTATCCCCATTGCAGGAGATAATCAGGGAGCGCTCTTTATGGGCTCGAACCCTGTGACGGAAAGTCGGTCGAAGCATATCGACATTAAGTATCATGCTATTTGCGAGTACATCGAGAATAAGCTGATCGAAGTCTTCTATGTCGATACCAACAACAACCCTGCTGACCTCTTCACCAAAAACCTGGGATGAGTCAAGTTCACGGAGTTCAGGGGCGAACTCGGCCCTGAGTTTTAGGACTCAGCATAATCCGCTGCTTGCAGTGCCCATACGCTCGCGCACCCTACCATGGTGCTTAGCGAGGGGGAGTCCAACTAGGCGAGGACTAAGCATAGCCTAGTAAGGCAACTACTGACACGAGGCTACCGGACAGTCTGTTAGGACTATGCTCCCGGAGCTAACTCATGGAAAGAGTCGAGCTCCACCTTGGACAAGGAGTAGATTGGTCCGAGTGGCGGAGTTGCCCCAGGTTCGAGCTCTATCTTGAGGTCGTAAGGGCGATGCTCAGGTAGTTCATCCGCTTTGGACTTGCTGAAGACGTCCGCAAACTCGTGGTACTCCTCCGGGATACCGGACAAGTCTGGAGGAGAGTTGGAGATGGACGAACTTCGAGCTCTGACGAAGTCCGGGGCAGCCAGATTGAGAGTGAAACTCTCCGACCCAGGTAGCTTGCAAGCGCGAGCAAAAGCGGAGGCATTGACAAGCCAAACCTGGGGTATGGAGTTCGGAGAAGTCAGAATTAGAGGTTCCAGACTCAGAGCAGCCGGAGCTGTCAGAGTTGCCGGAGTAGGGTCGGATACGGGACGAGCAGATGGCACAGTTCGGAATTGGATGCTACGCTTCTTCCAATCAATCAGCGGATTGTAGGTGGTGAGCCAGCTGTATCCCAAGACGGCGGACACAGACTTGTCGAGCGGAGTAACATAGAAATCTATATTGATGACTTCTCCAGAAGGAAAGTGTATCGGAAGTGTAGTTGATTTTGTAATGGTATGATTTGAAGAGCCGTCGAACAAAGATAATCGGAGTGGGGGAACGGAGTTGGTCGGAACTCGATGTAACTCCGCGGACTGCGAGTCCGCAAAGCGATGCGAGGATCCAGAGTCTATGAGGGCACGGAACGGAACAGGAACAAGATCGGAGTAGAGCTGAGTTTGGAGGGAAGAGGGGTCGGAAAGAGCGGAGGCGTTGAGCCTGACAATCTCCGTACTGAGGAGGTCAACACGGTCCTCGAGGGGTACGGAGTTCGGATATACTGTTAGGACTATGCGCCCGGAGCTAACTCCGGAGGACGTAGTTGTCGGAGTACGGAGCCGGAGTTGGGTGAGGCGCACGGGGGAGGACTTACGCCAAGCTATTAGCAA